AACTGAGGTTCAATTTGTCTGTTTAGGTGGGCGTTCAATAACCTATTGTATTATCTGAAAAGAGAAGTGCGTTTCTCCCAGTCTCCTGGTTAACAATCCCACAGATAAAAAACTGGCCATTCACTTTGTGGCTGTGAATGCTGATGTGAACATTGGCATTTGCCTACAAAAACACAATTATTAATTTTTACAGAAAACTCTAAAGTGCTATATTAGATGCAAGAATTATTAAGGATTATTAGTAACCACATGTTCTACAATGGGCATAAAGTGTTTAACATGGCTGGTAAAGCTCAAGAGCATGTAACCTTCAAGAAAGCTCCGCATCACCTTAGGAAACTTCAGTATTCTTCACAATATTAACACACTCTCCAACTGCATTCCACCCCATCCCCAACACACATATACAATGATGAAGTCGGTATCTCTTCTGACAGGCTGCAAAATAAAGCTCTTCCTGGAATCAATCCCAAGGCAAGCAAAGTGAAACGGTAGAGTCCACCCTCTCCAGCAGTGAAGGGATGTGCCTGTTTGTCAGTTCTCCCGAGTACATTTGAATTTAATTTACTGTGAATTTAAGTGACTGCAGGAACTCCGCTCCAGAGGTAAATCAAGTCAGATGTTCCTAAGGGTCAATATGACATTTCTCCAGTTGTCAGGAGGAGCCCTTTTGGAGTGATTCAGACCAAAGTAGCATTAAAAAATACTACAAATTATATCCCAGTTTTAGAAACAGCACCACAGGCATTGTCGGTTCTTATGACAGGTTTGTGCAAGGAACACAAGAGCTGCTGCAGTTGGAACATATCTGGATTAGTCCACAAACTCCACACAGAGCCCTGGCCACATGATATCACACTTCTCATCATTACCTGGAACCCAGAATGGACACTCATGGAACAACCACCAGACTGTGCTGCCCACTGTACCACCCGTCAGAAAATAATGGATATGCTGCAGAGAATTACACCTATCTCAAAAGCAGATAATTAAAAATAAACTGAAAAGAAAATCTAGATGATAACAATATTATCTTATCCAAAAGGTATTATATATCGGTGTGCAATATTATAAAAGTATTGCTAATCTTATAGTTAATATTATTTTGGTGTGAATTTGATTTAGTTGATAGCATCTCTGCATCAGAAGATGCAGAGATGTTATCAGTTAAACCCTTACTTCGGACTTGAGAGTTCATTGTCTAGGCTGCCATTACAGTGCAGTGTTGGGGAGTCCCATGGTTTTGGAAATGTCATCTTTCAGATGAGGTGTTAAAACAAGGTCACCTCTGCCTCTATTCAGGTAGGCAAGGGTGGTCCAACCTTTTGGCTGCTGAGGGTTGGATGCCCTATTTGACAAACGTCTGTGGGTCGCATAGGCATTATTTTTGTGTTTCCCTTCCAGAAACATAACTTAACATTTACGGGTTATGGAGACAGTGGGTGGTCCAGATGAAATGGAGGGAAGGGGAAAATGAAATCGGCCCACAAGCCGCCAACTGGACCATCCTGAAGACTGTAACGATCCTGCGAGATTATTTGAAAAGAGAAGAGAATTTCTTCCTCTGTCCTAACTAACAAGCCTCTGGATTAATTGATCATTTACCCCAATGGCTCTCTAAAGGACCTTGTTGGTACAACAGCAGCTGCATAGGTAATCTATAAATACAGTTACTACACTTGACGGTAATTACTTTAAGAAATTTGACGTGTTAAGCACAATATAAAAACATTAACTCCTTTGTTCATTTGGGGGTTACTGATGTATAATTCGACTACTCCTGGGCCACCCAGCCTTCTATTACAATATTTTACCCAAAGAATTGCAGCAACAACTGCCTTTAAATGCTATGCAGTTTCCCAAGTCAGAAAGGAAAGCTGTAGGAGACCCTCACTAAATGCTGTGAAAGGTTTTACATATCACAGTCCTTTTATCATAGAAGTGTCTCTTGGTTGAATGAATTCAATTATACAGCTACCTGACTGCTAGGTTTCCACTGTTTTCCTGTTGACTGAACTGTATTTTTTTCAGAGATGGTGGATATTAAACTCAGTACACTGACACTTCAATAAACAATAATGCAAGCACACAACACTCATTCCTTTTTGGAAAAGGTGATATGTGTGTTACATGAATGTAGGCAGCATTTGTTTTTAAATAAAGGCGACATGTATCACATTTTATCTTGCTAAGGTTTGTTTTCAATATTATTACACTAGATAAATACTGCTGCAACTGTATTTATCTATAATTCCATTACGTAACCATCAGTGGTGTGGAAAGCAAGATCAAATGGTGATTAACACATCATTATGCAATGTTGCGGACACCTTTAACTGTGCCTCTGGCACAGTAACATAACTGTAAATACAATAATTACTGGAAAATCATAGAGGCTGATTATTTTTACAAGTGTTTTCTCCTCCCTGGCACTAAAGATAGATCACGTGGTGTATACATTTCTATTTATACATGGTATTTGACTGTAGGGCAAATGACATAACTTTGCAACATTTTGTTTTTTTTTAATACAACAGCGGACATGGAAGCAACCACATGTGTTGTCCTTCAGGTCACGAAACTGAAAACCACAATCTTGCTGTAATACTCAGGGCATTGAGTGCAAGCTTCTGATAGACACATTAAAAGTGACATTGCTTTTCAACATTTAGTTGCTGGATTGGTGAATCATTCCTAAAACGTATTCAATATTTTGTAATAACAGGTGGATTATTTTATTTGCTCAATTTCGTTAAATATATTATCGTGTTTACAGTATGCAAAGCCTACACAGTGCAATGTTGGCATACAGTGTAACATTAGCATGCTATGATATACATAATATTGACATGCTACACCACAGTGCGATGTTGACATCCTATAACATAGTGTAAAGCTCACATACTATGCCATATAGTCTAATATTGATGTAGTAATCTAAGGTTGACGTTCTATAACATAGAGCCATGTTAACATACTATAAAATAGTGTAATATCGAGATGCTATGATATGCAGTGTAACGTCAACATCCTATGACATATTGTTGACATACTCTGTCTTGTGAGATACTCTGACATATAATGCCTTGTTGACATACTATGACATACCGTGTCATGATGACCCACTATGACATGTTTCTAAGAAAACAAATCAGATGGCAACTGAACAATTCACATTATGATCTGAGTAGAGGGATATATGGCTCGTTTCAAATTGCTTTGGACACACGTTTTACGTTGGGCGGCAAAATACAAATTAAGTCTCACAGTAAACAGAAGCAGCGTTACACAAAAAAAACCTTGTGACTGAGAATTCCCTCAGAGGGCTGGAGTGAAAGGTTCACTATTTGCCAGTCTTGCTCAACACTTTGGGCTAACCTCACCCAATCACTCTGGAAACTGAGCTACTGTATTGATGATTGTTCAAGCGCTCCGGACCCTGTCAAGCGCTCCGAGACCCCGTCAAGCGCTCCGGACCCCGTCAAGCGCTCCGAGACCCTGTCAAGAGCTCCGAGACCCCGTCAAGTACTGTGAGACCCCGTCAAGCGCTCCGAGACCCCATCAAGCGCTCCGAGACCCTGTCAAGCGCTCCGAGACCTCGTTAAGCGCTCCGAGACCCCGTCAAGCGCTCCGAGACCCCGTCAAGCGCACCGAGACCCCGTCAAGCGCTCCGAGACCCCGTCAAGTGCTCCGAGACCCCGTCAAGCGCTCCGAGACCCCGTCAAGCGCTCCGAGACCCCGTCAAGCGCTCTGAGACCCCGTCAAGCGCTCCGAGACCCCGTCAAGCGCTCCGAGACCCCATCTGGTGTGAAGGACACAAATAAATGCACGTTGTTGTTGTTGTTTTATGTTAGTTAGCAATGTTATTTACTGTTCACTTATTTACTTTCAATATTTGAAGGGTTGCACTCAGATCTGACCGCTAATAAATACATAGGCTGTAAATCACACCCCTACCCTGATAGGATACATTATTGGTTACTTTAATACTGTGACAAAGAAAACACATTGGGGCTTTGCAGTTTACTGTACAGTCGGGCTGGGAATTGTGCCTTTAAATCCCTACACGCTATTGCACGAGTAATTGTTTTCCCCAGTTTACGAGTAAAGCCGAAGCTTATCTTTATGGTTCTTTACTCAAGCTCCACAGCTAAGCGACTGCACATCGGGTCAAGGAACGTTGCTCAATACAAAAAGGCGTGTTGTGTAACTTGTCTCACATGCTCACTTCTGCTGCAGAAGTCACACAAGTGTGAACAGAATTACCAGCCGATTTCTACTGTTAACTCTACTTAAATAGGAGTCCTTCTCTGGGTGACATGTCTGGGACTTTACTACCAATGTAAAGAAAAACTTAATGAAAGCAGGTGAAATTTCATCCAATATGTTAGAATGATTCAATCTGCCCCATTCTGGAATTAACTGAACCGAGTCAAACATTACATGTTATGGCTTTACTTCAGTGGTAAACATTTTCTTAAGAATTGCTTCCAAGGCAAATATCCTTTTAGTTGGAACAGTTGTAAGACCGAAGCATCAGACAGTTACAGTCAGAAAAGAGATCAACTGGACAGACAGATGTTCAGGCAGATAAACTGAGAGGCATATAGATAAAACACTGGGACATAACACAGGAAGATAGCTGGACAGAGACATAGCAATAATAATAATAATAATAATCCTTGCATTTGATATAGCGCTTTTCACGTCTTGTAGACGTCTCAAAGCGCTTCACAGAATATACTCACTAGAAATCCCGAGCTGGATAGGCAGATGGGCAGGTAGATGGATGGATGGATGGATAGGACAGGTGGGTGGGTTGGTACACAGGTACAGACACACAGAGAGAGAGAGAGAGAGAGAGAGATGTGCTTCATAGACAAATACCGTACAGTAAGTAACCAGTAGCTGATCCCACGGGCAGTTTAGACAGACAGAGACCGAGAGAGAGAGAGAGAGAGAGAGAGGACAGGCAGTGAGTGTGAGTGTGAGAGCCGTACCTGCTTGTGCGGGGTCTCTTTGCCCACAGCGGGGGGTTTGGGTGCGGGTACCTGCTCGCAGGTGCAGCCCTCGATCAGGTAGATCCCGGCGGGTCTGTGACTCTGGTCGTTGTCAAAGTAGAAGAGCACATTCTGGTAGAGGGCGAACCACTTGTCGTGCCACCGGCTGTTCTCCGCCGTCTTCTTGCTCAGGAACCCGCGCTTCGTCCCCTCTTTGCGCGCAACGAGCGCCAAGTGCAGAGCGTGTCCTTCATTGTATCTGACGCTCTTCTGCATCTTCCGTCCGCGGGTCACTTCGGGGGAGGGGGGGGGAGGGGGGGAATTGGGGGGGAAAAAAAAGGGGGGAGTTTTTTTTCTTATATGTATGTATATATATATATATATATATATATAAAGAACTATTTCCTTTCCACCATCGTTCAGTTGTAAATTGGTTCCTCCGGAGTGTGGAATGAATGGAGAGAGAGAGAGAGAGCACTCACTCACTCACTCACTCACGGTTACTGCGCTGTGGAAGGGCTTCTGCATCTCCAGAAAGTGCAGTGATCTCTCTCTCCAAACTCACACTCACTCACACTCACTCTCACACACACACTCCACACACTCACTCACACACTCTCACACTCTCACTCACACACTCACACTCACACTCTCACTCACACACTCACACTCACACACTCACTCACACACTCACACTCACACACTCACTCACACACTCACTCTCACACACACACTCACACACTCTCACACACACTCACTCTCACACACTCACTCACACACTCACTCTCACACACACACTCACACACTCTCACACTCTCACTCACACACTCACACAGGGGGAAGACATCCAGAGCCAACTCCGAGGGATGAGATGTGATGTGAGAGAGAGACAGAGAGAAGTCTGGTTATAAACTCCTACCCACAGCCACACACTGACACACACTGACACACAGAGTGTGGTGAGCACTCACTCACTCACTCACACATGAGAAAGACAGGAAGACTGAAGGAAAATCCTGTCTGTGTGTGTGTGGGGAACAGAAGGTAAAAGGGAATCACGTGGGAGATCAGCTGTAATCGGCTTTGACACCAATTTAAAGCGACAGATCTCCCCCCTCCCTCTCTCTCCCCCCTCCTCCCTCCCTCTCTCCCTCTCCTCCCTCCCCCCCCCTCCCTCTCTCCCCCCCCCCCCCCCCTCTCTCTCTCCCCCCTCCCTCCCTCTCTCTCTCTCCCCCCCTCTCTCTCTCTCCCCCTCCCTCTCTCTCTCTCTCTCTCTCCCCCCCTCCCTCTTCCCCTGTGTGGCTCAGGTTACTGACACACACACACACAGTTGCTCTGAGGATCTCCAAGTGCAAACAGGCAGCCCTCGGAGGCAGGCAGGACAGGCAGGGGGGGGGGGCAGGCGGGGGGGGGGGCAGGCAGGACAGGCGGGGGGGGGGCAGGTGGGGGGGGGGGCAGGCAGGACAGGCAGGGGGGGGGGGGGCAGGACAGGCAGGGGGGGGGCAGGCGGGGCAGGCGGGGGGGGGGGCAGGACAGGCAGGGGGGGGGGGCAGGCAGGACAGGCGGGGGGGGGCAGGCAGGACAGGCAGGGGGGGGGGCAGGCGGGGGGGGGGGGGCAGGCGGGGGGGGGGGGCAGGCAGGACAGGCAGGGGGGGGGCAGGCAGGACAGGCAGGGGGGGGCAGGCAGGGAGGGGGGGGGGCAGGACAGGCAGGGGGGGGGGGGCAGGCAGGGAGGGCAGGACAGGCAGGGGGGGGGGGCAGGCAGGGAGGGCAGGACAGGCAGGGAGGGCAGGACAGGCAGGGGGGGGGGGCAGGACAGGCAGGGGGGGGGGCAGGACAGGCGGGGGGGGGGGCAGGACAGGCAGGGGGGGGGCAGGACAGGCAGGGGGGGGCAGGACAGGCAGGGGGGGGCAGGCAGGGAGGGCAGGACAGGCGGGGGGGCAGGACAGGCAGGGAGGGCAGGACAGGCAGGGAGGGCAGGACAGGCAGGGAGGGCAGGACAGGCAGGGAGGGCAGGACAGGCAGGGAGGGCAGGGCAGGACAGGCGGAGCAGCAGAGATAGTGCACTGTACAAGTTGCTGAAGATCGCTGTCCGCACTTTATTTCAAAGCGACCCCGTGCGATCCGCGCAGTGCAGCCCGTGGGCGCTTGACCGTGTGTGTGTGTGTGTGTGTGTGTGTGGCTGTAGCCCCCCCCCGCCCCGCCCCCCCCCCCCCCCCCCCCCCGCCCCCCCCCGGTGCCGGTGCTCACACTAACCTTTAAACAACAACTTCTGGGCTCTGCAATTTGTTGCACAAAAAAAGTGCGCGCCCACAACTGCTCAGCAGCTCACAGTGCGGGTATATGGACCATATACACACACACACATACACAGTACTGTACACATTAAAATTTTCTGGTACCGGTACCTTTATGTTTCCCTTATCCCTACAGTCTTTCTGCATCGGTCGCAACAGGCGACATGTAACTGCCACCACACTGTGTACCATTGGTACAAGTGCAGCTTTAGTATTCAGTGCTGACACATCTCTTGGGGTTTCTCTCGTTTTAATTTCCTTTTTAAGTACTGCGCTGTTATATTTTGGGCTTTTGCCACGTGAAATGCAAAGGAGTGGAAATCGAAGCCACTCCACCAAACTGGGAAGAATTGCCTCTTTATTTTATTGCATTTTTTTTTCTTATTTCCCAAAAGGTATTATTGTTGAATAACACGCGGAGAATGCCAAGTGTGTGTTGTGGAAGAGGCCAGAAATAGTCAATTATTAAACATTCATACCGATCTACGTTTAAATTCCATTTGAACTTATTTAACATTTAATTTTCAAACTGTACGGGTATCCAAACTTGGCTACTGTGGACATTACTGAAGTAGAAATGCTTATTAGGAATATTAATGTAGAGGCGTCAAATTCGCAAAGGTTGCGAAATGATTGTTTCACGAGAAAGAAGGAAGTTGCTGGTTTATAACAGCGTATCAGGTCGAAACATCTGAAAGCACTTTCCAGGAATTACTGTCAAGTGTAGTGACTGCAGGCAAACATTGCAATCAGCAATCATTTGTGCACATCAAAGTCCCAGAAACAGCAAGGCGACAAATGCCCAATTTATCTGGAGGATTGTTGGGAGAAATTCCCTTCCTTTTCTAAATAGTGTCATGGGAAGCGATCTTGAACTTCTCATCTGAAAGATGGCACCTCCAGCAATGCAGCACTGCCCCAATCCAGTCCTGAAAGGTCAGCCTTGGTTATGGTGGACTCCAGTCCTGTTGTGGTGCTTGAATCCGTAACCTTTTGATCTAAAGGTGAGTGATATCAAATGAGTCAAGATGACATCTCTGCTGGGTGAATCCTGCTAGTAGTTGGGCAAACCAGCTAGAACTCTCACACTGATCCACAATTCAACTTCACAAAAGTTAAACATTTAGATTGTCTTCAGCCCAGGGCTCTGATGTGTTCTGTGGGTCAGTGGGTCAAACACAGACACATTCAGAATTCATACATTGCAAATCTATTTGTGACTTTTGCAAATTGCTTCAGAATCACAGAAATTATAGCATCAGATGCGGCCCTTCAAGTCTAAAATTGTCTTCTACTCCCAGTACCCTGCCTTTTCTCTATATTTAAAAGAAGGGAGTTTCTTCAAATAGCCATTTGGGGCAAAACATTTGTTGCATTTATTCTCTCTTCTACTGTCAGACAAGACCAGGCAAATAGTATCAAGATAAATGTAATGTTCTGGCTCAACCAACAGGTGGTGTACTCGCTATCATTTCCCCTCAAATGGACATCCTCCTAATCTGTTTTGGAAAAATATTGGACATTATAGTAATAAGAATAAGAGGAGATAAACAAGTGTTCAGATCCCAACACTAACTTGCATTGACTCCCAATTGATTCCCATCAGTTCCCTTCTAAACAAAATAATAAGTCTATAAATTGTACTTTCACATTAGCCTAATTTTTATAGGAAAATAAAATATGATTGGGATCAATAAATGCTATGATAGCTTTACAAATTTAATGATCATTATTGCAAATGCAATAATGTCCTTCTATCTAGTCCTAGTCACACTTTAGTGTAGAAAGTACTATTTCCTGAATACAATATTGTTTGAAAATTACAGAGGCAACTATGCATCAATAATAATATTATTCCTTGCATTTGGTATAGCGCCTTTTCATGTCGAAAGGATATCTCAAGCGCTTCACAGGATTCACTATGAAATGTAGTGATTGTATGTTTGTGGGCAGAACATGAAAATGACAAAAATTGCTAATGCAGAGACAACCTTCTGTGGCTATTAGTTAATGGGGAACTATCCAGACAACCCAGCAGTTAATTACTGAACAAATTTGTTCCCAACAGTTTAAAACTCAATTAATTCCTAATTGCATAATTAAACGTTTGAAGATGTTGACACAGTCATTCATTCTTGTATGTCATTTGACTCATTAAAGTCTTTGTACCCCTTCACATTATCACCCCCACCCTCTCCTTTTCCTGAATCCCAACCATGAATCAGTCAGAACAATTTTAAAAAATCGTGGGTTCCGTTCCACAGAGTTGTTTCTTTGATCACAGCTGAGTCCTACTCACTATCCCAGCCCTGATAAACCCATTGTATGTTTGATTGCACTGTTAATCCCTTTCTTAGTCAGCATGAAAACCTATGACTGCAGATGGCAGTTGGGAACATGGCACAGGATCTATGTAACAAGCTGCCACATCAACAGAAAGCAGACAGAACAAGCAACAAGTTGCTGTTGCAATATACTGAGTCACCCTGTGATGCTGCACTCTCTAAATTCTCCCCCTTTCAGCCATGCGGTTTGTAGAAAGAACTTCCCTAACAAGCAGGGGGGAAGTAATTTCAGCGTGTTTGTTTGCAGTCAGTGTCAAATCAAAATCGCCAGAGGCCTGACAGGAGGTCACCAACTTAAGGATAAGAAGCGAAGAAAATAAATGATTTGCTAAAATGATGCTAGATTATAAACTGAAAATAACGGGCATCGGTCCCAATTGTTGATTCTTATCAGTCACTAGGGGTTGTGGTGGACGCAAATTTTGTTTGGACACTGGGATCGTGCTGAGAAGGCGTGACGTGTACTTTGGTCCATCTGGTCGCTCTTCAAGGTCCCACTGAATTAGTGACTATCCTCCTGGCATGTAGGGTGAGATGGGTCTACTTGTTGCTGAACTAGCTCCAAGGTGATATGCTTGGCAATAAAATGGCAGAATTAACTCAGCCCTCTGGGGAAGTCTCGTAGTAATCCAGG